ACTTCTTTGTACAATAGAAAAATCTGAACGCCTTGAAATAGTTTGTGCACATTTCAAAAACACAAATTCCTTCTTCTCTGCATGGATTAACCTTCAACTGAACTCTGTTCATGCTGAATGACGCAGGTCTTAACATGAGTCTGAAGAAATCAGATTTCAGAGGGAGAAGGTCGACTAAGTTCAGTAATGTAACTTTGCTCTGTTAAAGTTAACGATAGTTCAACCGGCACTGTACGCTGAGTACCAGCTGGTGTTATCATGAGTTCAGCTACCTTGCCAAAGAATGCTTCAAGAGCGCTCATCAATACAGACCCGATTCCTCTAAGAAGTCTGAGTTTAGTGGAAGTTGAATTTAGAAAGTTTAAGTGTTTGCCTGTCAGCTGATGATCAAACATCCTCGTTATTCACCTGAACAGACTCTGAAGGTGTTTAGTTTAGATCAGTCTGTTTTTTTCCTCCCAACTTTTAATCAGATCGATACTCGGTCTCATCTTTTAAAAATGTGTCCTTAGCTCATCTCTTTTCTTCAGGCTCAGGTTTTAATGAGGTTCTAATTTTTAGTGATTCCAGCTGTCAAAATAAGTTTTGCTTGAATTTGTTCAGATCGCTAACAGCTGCTTTTGGCTCCCTATTACAGACTGTAAACAGACTTCTGACTGATATCCACTGAGTGGGAAATCATCCAATAACAGCGAGGCAGGGGCAGGGAAACCTTTTATTGGCATAAGTTTAGCAGATAAATGATTGGTTTAAAAAGGTTAGGTAACAGTGATGTCACTGGTTGTCTGCCGAAGAGAATTGGCCCGCTTTTGTCAGAGAATTTATGAACGCCACAATTTTCTTATTTAGTTTGCTTTTCTTTTGAGTCTGAGTTTAGTCATTGAACTTTTACACCAAGTGGTCACAGATCTATAAGCTTCTTTATTTTGTGTTTTTGCATGTGAGGATGTTGGTGTGATGTGATACTTGCCTGCTGATGAGTAGTGTTCTTTATTTGGGTTGCAGAGGTTAATTTTCTTTGTTGCTAATTCTGTTTCTAATTAATTCACATTAAACTTGGTCTTTAAAGTGTTAATGTGTGATTTATATTTTGGGCAAACTAACATTTGCAAACCTTGAAAAGAACTCAGTGAACACTCAATGTTTCTGCTGGCATGTGTGAAAAGGATTGTGTTGAGACCTTATGATAGCTTTTTGTTTTCAAGTCAGGCAGATCTTCAGACTCAGCCGGACTGATGCAGCACTTTGTTAATGTTGTTGAATATTTTTGCATAATTTCAGTGAGAGAAATCTGATTTCAATTGTGTTTTTTTAAAAATCTGATTATAATGTCTTTGCTGCTGATTCATATTTTGGCAACACAAACCATGCCACTTAGCATAGCTCAGTTAGTATTATTCATTCTCTCTCTCTCACTCTCTCCTTCTCTCTCTTTCCCTCTCTCATATTCCCTTGTAAGGTCTGTTTCACCCCTACCCCATCCCTCTGCAAATATGAGCTTAGAGCACAATTGAACAGTCTTAATTAAAAGGGTTGTTTGCACAAAGGCTAAAAGTCCTGATAAAATGATGTTTTCCATCCGTCTAAAATTAAAGCTGCTCAGTGTGATAGTGCAGCACAGGCTGAAATTAAAAACTGTTATTGTGAAAGACATAAAGACAGCAGAATAAATAAGAGTCACTTGCTCAACCAATGGAGTCTTTTTGCCTTTGCAAATGGCGTTCAGTTAATTAAATCAATTTTAGCCTATAAAACATACATGAATGTTGATATTGAAGTAAACAGCCTTTCCAAATGTGTCTGTCAGCTCTCAGAGGAACCTGAGGCATCCCTCGTGCATGAGGGTATTCGACCCTGAGTCTCTGATGAGGGTCTCCATCACTGGAGTTACTGGTGTAGTATATTATGAATAGATAAATATTTGGTTAAAAGGGAACAATAGCAGAAACAATAGGTAACCAGCTTGTAAAATATTCTGTTAACTTATTCAGTGCCAGTGACAGATTTGGACAGTTTTTTTTTTTTTTTTTTTTCCGCCCGAGGGCTCTCCTCCCCAACATGCGACTAAGTTTGGGGTCGTTTTGAACACAGAAAAGCTGACAAATACGTCATAACCATGTTACAATAACAAAAACAAGTACTCGCCAGAGAGAAGTGTGCCATCAAGTGTGCCAATTAGCTTAATTGTGGAGTGTTTTTTTCTCTATGAGGAGAGTAGGAAAATGCCGAAGTCATTAGCCAAGAGCTAACGATTTCGGCACACCTACTCCCCTGGGCACAGTGCTACCGTCTCTGGATGCGGTGGAGATCCCTGTACCAGACCTTTACATTGTTAGCCGACAATCAAAGAAACAATTTTCCAGTTTCATTGTGCCACTGGTGCTAGTACTGGTGAGCGAGACTGATCTGTAATTCAGAGACAGTCCCGGCTAGGAGGATGCGAGCTGTCTGTGTGGTTAACGTCACGGCGTCAGGTTTTTGAGAGCCAATACAACTCCCAGCCGTCACAAAGTGACCTATCACTATCAGTCCCCTATTTTTTTTTTTTTTCTGGTGGAAGAAAAGAATCAGTCCTTTCTTTTGAGATACTGCACTTAACTCTAGTTCAAGCACAAGATATTCTGTGGGTCCTGAAAGATACTGAAATTTCTTTTGTGGTCAATGGTGGCACTGGGTGAAAATTTCATAAATGAACCTGGCACTGATTGAGTTAAGTGTCGATTTAACACCTGTAAATTGATACCTGCATGGTTTCTGATTAAAAGAGGTTGTATCTAGGCTAACTGCAGCAGCTTTGTTTAGTTTTACTTTGAAATTGAAGAAAATAGATGCACATATGGGAAAATAACATTAGACTGAACTTGATCTGAATTGAAGTGTCAAATCTTTATATCGTGTTTGCTCATCATTGCCACCGTCAGGAAGCGGATATATTTGTGTCCAGCTTCCTTTCGATGATGAATTCGATTCTTACCTGATAAAGGAGGGAGAAGAGTAAATTCAGAAGAACAACTAACCTAACCTTTAAACAGAGCAGGTCTAAATTAGACTGATTAAGTCTTATTCAACCTAAAACACATTAAACTACAGAGTTTTTGTAAAGGGAAATTTTGGTGGCTCACACAGCCATGGGAACCGCTACACAATAAGAACATGGTCAGGTCTCTCTCTCTCAAAAATATTGTTCAAAATCATACATATCTATGTATACATACTACAAGAGCCTAACCTGAGGCCCTGGGGTGTTATGCAGTCTTTTTATTTTCCCAAAACACCCCATGAGAGAGAGAAAGAGAGAGTCATGAGCCTCATATATGCATTGCAGACAAAACTTAGACATACTTGCAAGACCCAGAGGCTAGTTTACCGATCAGCTGTCTACTGTCTGGAATTGAAACAGCATCGCCCCCTCTGATTCAGGGGTTAATGGTCAGTTTGAGATCCATTTTCAGCTGAAAAAGAAGCTGCACAGTTCCATTCTTTAACCCCCATCCCACAGTCCTCATGTAGGCTGGGAAAATGAATCTCTGTAACTACCAAGAGCAGCCTTGTAAATCACTGCCTCATGGTTGTCTGATATCTAACCAGGAGCAGTGAATATATATGTGTGTATCCACAGCATATAAATAAAATGCAATGTTACGCCCTTATACAGAAGCTTCTGCATACTTCTTGCGTTAACGCAGCTGATTTGTCACTTTATCTTATTCAGACTGCTTTTAACATTGACTGGTAACCCCATTAGGCATAATTTACCTCACCCCCTCCTCTCTTCTCGCCTCCCCTCCCCTGTGCACCGACTCTATAACAGATTACTAATAAAGTCACAAAACAAGAGTGATTATCTTTTGCTCAAAGCAGTAGATCTTTGCTGCTCTTGTCCCCTCATCCTTTGCATCATCTCTCTTAATATTTATATTTTATACCCTTTCTACCTGCCTCTCAGAAACACTGTTGCGGTGCACGACAGAGCTGTTGATCCTTGTTTCTTCCTGCAACATAAAGACTCTCCTGGGTGTTGAGGTATGCATGTACCTCCAGATGTGTGGAAGAGGAAAAACACTCACATTTTGGAATTAAAAAACAGGAAGGTAAAAGTAAATTTGGTAACACATTACTTGACCCTTATCTCTCTAATGCATTGTAAATGTATGTATAATGTGTAATAATCACTTCATAGCACTGTAAAACTATAGTTATAAATACTCACTGTATAGCAATAATCATAACACTTTATAAAGCATTCTCTCATGACTTACAAGGTCAGGTATTATAAACTGTTAACAACTCACTGACAATGCCCACATGGATAATGCATTATACATATATTTATTATGATGTTTTATAATTTGCTTATAAACTTGTATAACTATAGTTATAAACATTCATTAATGATCATAATGCTTTATAGCAATAATCATAACACATTATAAAGCATTCTATCATGAATTACAAGGTCAGGTATTATCACGTGTTATGCTTATTGTTATAAAGACTTATGATAATTAATGAGTGTTTATATAACACATCATAAATATAAGTATAATGCATTATCTATGTGGGCATTGTCAGTGAGTTGTTAACAGTTATAACACATTATAATACCTGACCTTGTAAGTCATGATAAAATGCTCTATAATGTGTCATGATTATTGCTTTAAAGCATCACGATCATTTATGAGTGTTTATAATTATAGTTATACAATGCTATAACGTGATTATAACGCATTATATATTTATAATGGGTTATAGAGATAGGCGTCAAGCAAAGTGTTGCTGTGAATTTCTTAAAAAAACATAAGACTTAAGTCTTAAATTTATGAGGAAAATAGGCCATGGTCAGCCGATTTGAGGGGGATAATAGATTAGGGATGGAGCAGCTAATAAATGAGGGTATCATGAGGTTATAAGCTGCTTCAATGCAAGTTTCATCAAATAATTAATAGATCTTTAAGCACATCAACACCGGGATATATATTTATACACACACACACACACACACACACACACACACACACACACACACACACACACACACACAAACAGTGTATGGATGAGCAGACTTCTCAGTTTTTATTCTCAGACTGAGGGAAATACACAACAGGATCCAGCAGCTTCTTCTACTCTGACAATAAGTTATTCTCTAAGCTTGTAGGATTCAGTCATATTAAATCCTTGAAGGGTAAGCTCTCAGCTGTGGCGACTTCACCCTAAAACATGTCTGATTTTAAATTCCTAATCCAGTAATGAAAGCGGCTGTTGCATGCATGAACCATGTTGAATATTTGCCTTCAAACCTATTTTATTTCTCATCACACTGAATGTCAGAAAATTCTTCATCCCAGTGTTTTAATGTCTTAATAACCCTGACCTTTCCCTCTGTCCTATCAGATGCCACAGAAGAATCAATGTACTGGTTGCTGATTGAGTAACTGATATGGATTTTGTCGGTCTGCTGGTCTCTGTGGTCACCACAGAGCAGATCGTGATGGAGGAAGCTACAGTGTTTGTACGTCTCCCACTGACCTTGGATTCTTATCACTAAAAAACACTTCCTGCTGACTCTCCACAATGGCACATCAAAATGACTCTAAGTGTAAGCAGTATAGACAGAGACGGTCACACAGCAGCTGTATGTACATCCTAATAAAGGCTGTTTGTTTAATCTACTCTATATTGAAGTAGCTGTGATCAACAGTGTGCTGAAACAGCGGCATCTAATATGCAGTTCAACATCAAAGTTTTAGCTCCAAAATGTGAGGCTTCCCTTTTCCTTTTGACCCTTGACCTTTAGGAGTGTTGATAGGACAGAAACTGTTGCTACCTACTTCCCTGTGTTTCCTCTTTTTGTGTAATCTGATTGTATTTGTCCTTGTTTTCTTTTGGAACAGATAAAAACATCTTTCCCTCCTTTGATTTTAGATTAATAGAAAGCACATGATGTTTGTTGTTAGTGTTCATGTTGGTCTATTTCGGTCCATTTTAGCATAAAAAATTAATATTAACTACATGGGGGCAAATGGTAAATCAAATTGTGGCATCAAACGTATTTTTAAAATTAGGGGTTGAGAGTTGATTCCTCATTAAGGCACCAAGCCAAATAAAGAAAATGAATATAAATAACAAAAACAAAGGCAAGAAAACACAAGATGTTTTTATTGTGACAGACAAGTCAAAAAGCTCAAGTAAAACACAAACACGACTACTCAGTGTCAAGCTGAATATCGTCACGATGAAAATCTGAGCCTCCATCTCATTCGAGTTTCACGGTTTTGCTTTGTTACCTGCCGAATGTTGCTGTGATTTTTCTTTAACCCCCCCTCGTCTCGTTCAAGTGTTTGCCTTTGCTGTCTTAAGTAAACTGACTCACAGGTCACCGTGAAGTGGAAGCTTTTTCCATCTCTCTGGGAAAGATTGTTCTGTATTTGCATATTCAGGCACTTTGTTCAAGCAGGGTATTTACTTAGTTGCAAAGACAAACATAACAAAGCTCTGGTTGTCATTTCAGTTTACTGTGGGACTAACAGTTCTGTACTCTAAGGGAACAAACTTTATGGGTATATTTTAGGAGCCAAATCTGTTTAATTAGGGAATAATGTGGGCTGCTAGTCCGACTGAGTCTGAAATTCCCTGTTTGAGTTTGTCAAAATAAAACATAAAAGAATAGAGCAGTGGTTTATGAGGAGTACGATGTAAAAAAAAATACTCACAAGTCTTATTATGAATTATTATTCATAAGTTACTCTTTTTATTACAGCTCATTGGCAGTCATGCTGATTCTGGATGGCACCAGTGACAAAGAAACTGAGACTGGGAGTTTGATTGCAATATTTATCTTGAGATAAATGTAAACTCATCCAATCAGAAGCCTTCAGCTGTTGGAGAGACAACTTCTGCATAATAGAGTTTGCACAAATGTGTTTTTTTATTTATTTATTTATTTATTTTCTCTGGCACCCTATTCCAGACTATTACTCTAAATGCACACAGTCTGAACCTCAGTGAGACACTCTCATCTTCATGAGGCAGTCACTGAGATGTGTAGAGTGGGGTTCAGAGGGAGACGGGGTCTGTGGCTGACAGCAAGGCATTTTGTATGAAACCAAGCAGCACACACACACACACACACACTCGATGCCACACAAATATGTTTGAACAGACACACTCAATGACACCTGCACTGACTCACAAACAAATGCTGAGGCTTATAGTGACAGATGAGGTCATGTGCATGCATAGGCACACACAAACACACAGCAGAGCTCTTGAGTTGATCAGAGACTGTTAACAGTGTCACCTATCTCCCAAGCTCAAACCCCCCAGGAGATGGCTCTCTGTCACTGATGCCGCTCTGCAGACAGTCTCACACAGCCCCTGTCTGTTAGCTGTGTGTGTGTGTGTATGTGTATGTGTGTGTATGTGTGTGTGTTTGCACGTTTGTCTAGGAAAGCTGGGGGAATATTCCCCCCCTGTGGAAAGCGTGTACTATCCCGTCACACTCTGCTAGCGTGGGAGGTATAAATCCAACAAGCACAAAAGCATCGATCACATCATTACCATTAAACTGCTAGTGATGCAAAGAGTAAACATTTCAAACATCGTCATTATTAATGCTGTCTTTTGAAAAAGCTGTCAGAGTCGACGTTAAATGCAGAGAACAACATCTTTCCCAGAGCTGCAGTACAAAGCGTCTAATTTTACATCTTGTTTTACAGTTTTGACTACAAAAACTAAAGAAGCGAGCTGGTTGCCGTTAACATAACATTGTTTCCCAGCTGAGAAGGACATAATTCTTTTCATCTCTCACAAGGCCCAGAGAATTGTGTATTTTATGCACAAAGCAACAAAGAAATAGCACAGACTCTTGTAGTCCCTCTGTTTTGACATCTCCAGGCAGAATGCCACAGCTGAGCTAATGGTGTGGTAAGCGATAAAATGTAGGTTTATGAGGGATTAGTCAGCTGTGTGTGTGTGTGTGTGTAACAGACACACACATACGCACACACACATACAAGCCGGTGCACCCAGGCACACAACATTCCCCAAGTTTAGTGATGCATTAGTGGTGTTTACGACAGCTTTGAGTGGAGCTTACCCCGTGCTTCCTCAACCCCCCTCTGCACACCCCAGACACCAGCCCCACTGAACACACAGCAGCAGCAGCAGCAGCAGAGACAGGGGTTTAGTTAAGGAGTCTCACAAAGACACAGTCACAGATGGTTAGGTCACCGAGATTTTTTGAGGGGTGGGTGGGGGTGAGGGTGTATTGTATAGATGTACTGGGTTTGCCGCTCTGCAATACTTTGTGGTCTGTCAGGATTCTGTAAAGATGGATATATATATAGAGAGAGAAGAAACAAGAAACATGTTAAAGTCAGGAAACAAGTCAGTGAGGTGCTGATAAAGAGAAGGAGAAGGAGGAGGGTATGAAGTGTCAACACAATGATACTTAAAAGATGAAAATCTGCAGAGAAAAAGAGGGGCGGGGTAATCTGGATAAAGCGGGTGACAGAGCCCTCCTCTGAACTCAGACTGCTGGTACCCTACTCGCTGAGGGGCAGAGGGTGAAACAACATCATGCAGAGATTACAGGCCATCTCTGCAAAAGTCTTCTCTTAAAATCATCCTTTTGATATTCACAGAAAGATACATGTAGAAGCCGTTTTTTAGTTTATGTCAAAATCTTATTTTTAAGCAAACAAATAAAAGTCTCAGTTTATATTATTAATAGTAAAGACCAAAAACAAAAGATATTAAAGTAGTTAAATGGGTTTGTTTGTGTTGATTAGTAGATTCAGACGTGCCTGTCTAGAGGAGGTGCGCAGGTCAGTTTTTTGTTTGATCCAGGTCGAGATGAGCAGCACAAACATGTTTTTTTGGCTGTGAAACGGGAGCTTTTTGATATTTTGTACAGTTTTTGAGTTGTGAGCTCCACGGAACCCACAATCTGTGAAATAAACGGAACAACCACAGACCTGCGAGTATTGAAGTCATTTTATGAATGAAGGTGGACAAGCGTCAGGACATCTGTGGGGCTCGTCTCATCCAAAGGGTTTCTAAAAAATGTTAGAGAGGAATCTGCTTCTACAATACAGCTTACCTAAAAAAAGTACAGAAGCACCAATAGTCGGGCTGCAGCTGCACAGCAACCTAAAAAAAGGACCTGTAACTGTTTGAGAAATCAAGCACGCTTCAATACTAGCAAGAACTGCGTCTTTAGTAGCAAGAGGAATACTTTTGAAAATGTATTTTATAAACTAGTCCTTTCTAAGTCTGTAGCCTAGACCAGAATTTGCAGAAGCAGAGAAGAGAAGATAGGGGAAATGAAGAGTCCCTGAGTGAGATGTGCATGGAGAATGAATTTATGGTAAGTAGAACAGAATTGACTTTCCAAGTTTGCACTACATTAATCTTTACTACATGCATTATTGATCTATTATCAAACTCTCAAATAGCTAGCATTTAACAGGGGCACCAGCATTTCTAATCAGGCGGTTGACGGCTGAGATTGTTTAGTGGTCCTAGCCTGGAGCACTTATTATACAAGTCCGTGTTCATCTCCACAGAGTCTCATTTACTGTAACATATTTGAGCATTATAGAAGAAAAAGGGGAAAAAAAGTCTCAGCTTTGGGCTCTGAGGGAATTCTCTCGTCTGTCTGAAGTGTTTTATTTTATTTTGTCCTTGCTAAATCAGTGTGTGTTTGTATTTTAAAGCGGGCACCTCATTTCAGAGTTATGCTTTAATCTAACGTGGAGGTTATTTTGATCGTGCATGAATCGTTTTGAAGACAAGCCACTCATCTAGAGAGGAATTCATACTGTATCTGCTTTTCCCTCATAAACATCCTCAGTGACAGATTAATCCTGGTGTCTTTATGATGGACTTTTTTGTGTTTGAAAGACAATCTGTGTTTCTCCCTCTCACACCCACACACACACACTTAAACAGAGGAATCTTCTTAAATCTATACTAATCCATTATCCTCTGGGTGTGGTGGTTCTGTCTCCTGTCAGTGGGAGGGATCAGTGTGTGTGTGTGTGGTTTACTGTACTGACGTTTGCATTAATAGGAATGCATAAACTACGTGCAATTTACATACAGGAAAAACATTAATTTCCCTTTAAGTCCTCATACTAAATGGGTGTCCTGATTTTCCTGTTGGACACATGACCTCTCTGAACTCAAAAGTAATATAAAAACAAAGCCAGAGCGAAAAATGAGACCAAAAATTCAATTACCGTGTGTTTGACTCCAGCGATGCTTGAATGAGGAAGCATCTGTTGCGGCGTCTACAGCAGAGAAACACCAATCAAAGATGATTATGATGTTGACAAAGTCACCCTGCAGATTGCTCTTATTCAGCCTCTGAAAAACATTCATTCTGGTTCACTTTTACAGAAGTTTGTGCGCTTGGAGTCATGCCTTTAGGACTGAGAGCAGTGTAAATTATTTCTAAGACTTTTTTGGTGTTTAATGAGGTCAAATACACAAATTATTCATCAGCTGATCTCTAACAGTTTACTGAACACTGAAAATCCTCCTCTGAACTATAAACAAATCATCAGGATGGTAGATTATTAAACATTATGGAGAAACTGTTGGGTTTATTTTGAGACAGGTGCCGGTCAGATCTGAGAAGTACTGGGCCCCAACCATCTCCTAAAGAGTGAAATAGAGCAAGATAATGTCCAATAGTCCAGATCACAGCGACAGAGATGAGTGAATCTTGTAGTCGCCTATCACTACTGAGTAACTGAAAGATCATTGGTGGCACCAACAGCAGCAAAGGTAACAACTGTGAGATTTATGTCACACGGTGTGCCACATGTAGGACTGAGAAAGGGAACTAAAACACTGGTCTAAATACTCCTGCTAAAGTCCTGAGGCCGTTATAGTGGGTAGACTCAAAAGATGGGAGTAAGTACTCCAGTACTCTTAGGGGGCTTTCACATCTATGTCGTTTAGTCTGGACTTTCAGACTTTTCTATGATGATAGGTGTGAAACCTCCTCAGGACCTTGGTCCAGACCAAAGAGCCAGACCTTGGTCTGACTAAAAGAGGTGGTCTCAGTCCGGAACAAACTGAACCGTGGTCTGGTTCATGCCCAGTGTGAAAGTATTATTTTGAAAGGTTTGGACCTTCAACCCAAAAACAAGAAATGACACAAGGAGTACAAATATCCGTAATTATGTGTAATGGACATTGTCCACAAACTGGAAATTTGCCAATATTGTTGATACCTCACTATTGACAGCTTATCTTTTCAAGAGTTTTACAACACATACTTTCTCTCCATCTAATGATAAAATTCATAAGATGAACTTGGACCAGCCAAGTTATCACTTGGTAGTTAAAAAGCAACAATAATATGATGACCAATTAGTGTAAGCTACAGAGACACGCAAAGCACAAAGTTAATGACGATATCATGTCAGTTCGTCATGTAAAGTCTGTTAGTCAGTTTGCAATAATGACAGTGTGAAACCTAAACAGAACCAACTAAACCAAATGTATACAATGTAACAAAAACACAGAATTTGGCTCAGACCTTGGTCTGGACCTTCAGGTGTAAAAAAACACCCTTAACCCATCATTACTCGAGTATTTTCAAACTACTGCTGAATTACCTCAGGTAGGTTAGCTTACAGGTACATGAACCATGTGAGTTGTGACCAGGAAAAGTGATGTGTGGAAGTATTTTGACAAAAAGGAAAACAGTAACACACTGTGCAGATAAGCAGAGTTAAAATTGTGTGTCATAGACATAGTAGTTTGAGGCTTAACCACATGATCTTAAAGCTCTGAAAGAACACAGATGATAGGCAGTCTCATCATCACAACATGTTCGCAGACACTAATGTGGTGATACCAAAGTGGAGAAGATTAGCCTGCTAACAACAAGAGAGGTGACTGGAGACATGCTCCCATGAAGTTAATGTGATGGTGAAGTCTTCTCTGAGCTGATGGCGTTTGTTGAGTTGGTGGTATACATTTTGAACAGGGTCATGTTAAAAAAATGAGACTCCTGCTCACTTTGTCTCATGCCATCTTAAATGGATCTGTTTAGTGTAATGTGAGTTGCAATAAATAAGCAGACTAATTAATTAACTGAGAATTTAAATGTTAATTTTAATATGCACTCATCCTGAGAGGAGGCTGGTAATCTGCTGCCATGACTGTGCAGTCCATGAAAGTAGAACTCCTTTTTTTTTTTTTTGCTGTAAACAGATATTTTTAAACTAACAAAGTAATACTTGAATCATTTTTTAATGTTAATATATTTATATCAGCTACACCTTATACTTGAAGATGAGAAATCAGCTACAAACAACACTAAAATTGAATCAAGACCATAAAGGCAAAAGTTGTCCAATAAACAACCAAAACACAATTCACAAAATCAGGATGACCATGAAAGAGGAAGGTGAAAATTAAGGTTCTGAAAAAAACACCAGGAGATCATCCATGCAAACACAGAAGACAAATGACAAAGGCAGGCCTCATGGAAAGAGGTGATGAACCGACGCAGAAGGAGGGAAAGAAGGAGACTGCACTCAAAAGAAGAAAACAGTCATTCTTCTCTTAACGTGTAAAATGCTTTTAATAAAACAACTTGAGTTGGAAGTTTCTCTACATATAACAACATTCCTCATCTTTCAGATTATTTGAATGCAAAAATGAATAAATCTTTTTCTCAGCGAAAGTATCTTTTGAAGTTTTAACTGCGTTACACAAGGAAGAAAAAGTAACAACCATCCGCCAACTTTTTCACTAACATCTTCGGCTTCAGCAGCAGATCGACTTAGAAATCCCAGAAGGGATATTTTATATATAAAAATTATAAATTTGAAGCAAGAAGATGTGAGTGTGCTCCTTGTTGAAGGCTTTTCATAAATTGAAAAACTTTTGGTTTTTGTCTGAGGGTCGGATCAACAAGGACTTTAGAGCTATAAGTCATTTAATTTCAGTGCGGATGCTTGAGCAGAACATTTGTAGAAAATATCTAAAAAAAAATAAAAAAAAAACATTCTTTGTATTAGTATAGAATGTTGCACCATGTGATTCAGGCTTGATCTCTTGACCACCAGTTTTGGTCTTTGGTTTGCTCTCAAGTACATTCTTGGATGTTATTAAAGCAAATGTGTGTCAAATGGATGAATATCCTCACAGCTAATGGTCTGAATCCATCAGATTTAGTCAGATACATAGTAGGCTTAATGCAAGAACACATGCTGTTGAAGGATTTTGCTTCATAATACCCATGAGTCCTCTAGTGACTGTGTGAGCCGACTTTGTTTATGACAAACTCCTACCATGGAGCCCAGATCCAGACTCATGAAGCCCTTCAGCCTCCACTGATGTTAACTATGACTTCAGTGGAAGTAGGAGAGCTCCTCCTCAGTGTATGAACTATTTCTTTAGGATAAATGAAGTTCTGTTTTTCTGCTACATAATACCCTTATCAGTCAGACAGCACATAATATGTGCTTTATGATGTACACAGGGAAATTCATGTGTCCTTCATAGCTGCCTCGTCAATTATTCAGGATCCTGTCAGTTTTATCCTTCTCTGACAGAAATTACTGCACTGTAAACAGAATGATGTTACCGCCCTGAGAATTCATTTACCCATGTTTTATTTCCCCAGAAAAACCATGTGCTTTTAATAGTAATATTTTATTTATTTATTTTTGTTAAATACACTCTCATAAAACAGCTTCAACAATGTTTGATAATTGTACTGATGCTGTAACCTGCTTTTTTAATCAGTACATGAAAATCTGCAAAAGGAGTTTGAATTGCTAGGATAAGAAAGTTGGCTCTGCTAAAAGTAAGAGCACACAACAAAACAGTGAAACCCCTAATTTAAAAATAAAATGGGCCCTGTGTATAATGTTCATAGAAACAGATTTTTTCTTAATCTGAGATTTGATTCAACATAAAGCAGAGACAACAAATCAAAGTTTAAACCTGAAAAAACTCTTTTATGAAAACACATTTATCCTTTTAAAACAATGCACATGTTTGTAAAGTTTGCCATTTTGCTGCATCACTGTCATTTTAACACCAATCAATGAACATTTGGGAGTCATGAGAGAACTTGATTGAGTTTTTCAAATGTTGTCTCATTCAGGGGGCGGAGCTTTAGGTGGGCCATTCCTATCTAATGAAGGACTTTGATGGCTCAGGTCCTTTTAGTTCTTATACACGATGCATCAGATGTTTGTCAAACACCTGGTTTTGCATCATCTTGCTGAAATATGTAAGGTTACTCCTTAAACAGCTCAGTATTGATGGCAACATGAAACCTGTTAAAAGGGTTGAGTATTTATGTTACCTATTTATGGTACCTACACGTACCTTCACAGGTGCTGGCTTCTAAGCTTTGGACTTGTGACACACCAGGTGATCCCTCCTCTCCTCCAAGACTCAACATATATATATATATATATATATATATATATATATGTATTTAACCCACCAGACCACATGACAGTGACCTGCTTTGCCTCAGTCCATCTGGCTGTGGTCCACCATGGTCCATCTTTGGACCATTTCTGGCATTTTTCTGGCATTTCTGAATCATGTATAAATTAGTTTCTCCATGCATAGAGGTTTTTGTTTTTGTTTTTTTTAAGACATGAAGTGTTTTTTTTTTTTTTTCAAAATTCTTCTGAACCTGTTGTTTGCTGTTGGAGTGTTTGCTAAACCAGCCTCTCAAAGAGTGGTGAACCTACTAATGCATTAAATCTTTGTGTTTTGTTTTTATATTTACTTCAATTAGATACAGGTTTGTATTTTTTGAACCATCAAAACTATTTTAATCAACCTTTTTCACAGCAGTCTACCTTTAATGGAGCTGTGAAGCACGTGAAGGATCTAAAAATGATCCGATCAGGGAATTGTTATCAAGTTTAATGACTTGGTGATTTCAGGGGGAAATCTTTGTTCAGCTGCCTCATGCATAGAGACGACAATCCCTGCTTTTGAATCCCTGTTGTTGATGGTTTTAATTCATGTGGCTTTAACAGTAAAATCAACATAATGCGGTTTATCATCTGAGTAAAATTTGTGCTACTCGACCTCTGGCAAATAAGAATCAAAGAGATTATTTTCTGACTTTGTTTGGCTTTGCTTTTGACAGAGCTCAGATCAGTCTTTACTCCTTTAAACTCCAAATGCAGGTTCTGGATCCTGGCTGGACGTTGATGCTGACTAAGCCCTTTTCTATAACACAAACAGCTGTTGTAGAAATAAATTCTTATGAGAGTGACGATTACCCCCACTAAATATATGCAGCGCTGCCGCTGCTTCCAGCCTTTCTGCTAAGCTAAGCCAGCCATAACCATGAATAAGCATACGTGAACTATTTGTCCAGAAGGGTAATGGTGCAAAAGCCAGTAAAAAAGAAAAAAAAAAAAACATCTTAACTCATTCCAACTTCTCAGCTTTTGTAGTTGTGTTTCTTTTTCCTCTCTTTTTCAGATTTACAGAGAAAGCTGCTTTGGCATCAGCTCTTTTGCCATGATTAAAAGACGTAACTAAG